TTAAAGGCTAATTCTTTTAAGCCCAACCAATTCAATTACCTGTCAAATCTGGACAGGACGGCCTTTAAGGCCTTTTTTTATTGTCATTATAGTATTACGGGGAACCCCGTAGCAGCCACATCCGTGCTCAAGCCTCCAACGAGGGAACATGCGGGAGCTGCACCCACCAGCAGGTGCGATACCTGCTACAGCAGGTGGGTGATACCAGCCAGGGGTCAGCCGGTAGCATCAGGACCGAGCTTCTTCGATGGGCCAGTCACTGTGCCTCCCCTCCAGTCCTCTCCCCCTATGAAGATCAGCAGTCTCTGCTCAATGCCACTCGGGGGAAACAACGTTATATCTCTAGGTGGCGGGCGCCAAGCTTGCCCAGGAAGGTACATGAGGCCAATGGGGATTGAACCCAAGACCTCCTGAATGCCACTTGCGTGCCTTACCAACTGAGCTAGGCCGGACTCGCTACACTACTCACCAAATGTGAAAAAAATGAGAATGGGAATGAATCTTCCACCAGTAGCACATGGAAGGACAGGCCGCCATAATTTTTGTCTTTCATGCATGTCGTGAGTAGTGGAGCGAGGTTCACCAAACAGTTGTAAAGAGTCTAAAGACAAGCTCTGTGCGAAAGCAGCTCTCACAAGCGGTTAACAGGGAACCGCACTTTGAAAAGTGCAAATGGGGATAATTCTTTTCAGCCTTTTTTTTTTTTTTTTTTTTTTTTTTTTTTTTTTTGCCGAAGTCTGGCTTAAAAGGTGTGTGGGACGTTTGTTATAATGACCCTGAAAAAGAGCCCTGAGAATTACGGCTCTGTTAACCGCTTCTCCTTTGTGGCAGACTGTTTGATCAAATGTTCGTCTCAGATCGGCTGTTTCCGCAACTTTTGCCCACCAATGTGGAGGTTGAACCTCCCTTTTTTTTTTTTTTTTTTTTTTTTTTTTTTGTGAACCAATCTGGAGGTTGAACCTCGACGGTGGGCTACAGATCATTTTTTTGACTGATGTTTTCGGGATTTTGGGGCCACCACCTTGGCCAAAATTAGCGATGCTATACATTTCTCGGCCTTTTGGCTAAGATCAAGTGTAGTATCTGTTATCTGATCAGTTTAACATCTGATCCGTGGTCCATCGAAAAAAAAGAAGAAAAAGAAAAAAAAATTAGCGATGCTCTTGAGAGAAGTGGTCGACATTTCACTCACACCAACCTTGCAATCCCTGGTAGACTGCCGAGTTCGAACCGCCGACAAGAAGGGCAAGATGTCCGGCAGGAAACAGTGTGTGAGTTTGAACCCACCAACCGTCCTTCGTGTCGGGGGTTCGAACTACCTTCTTCCACCGAATACAACCTACTGTCATTATAATATAGATAGATGTATTTAGACTGAAAGACACCCCAAATTCAGCTATAATGACCGTGCGTTGTATTCGGGGGTTCGGACTATAGGAGGTTATCCATGACAACAGTCATACTCACACATTGTTGCCTGCCGGACATCTTGTCCTTCTTGTCAGCGGTTCGAACTCGGCAGTCTGCCGCTAGTTTCCTGCCTGAATGATGAGACTGGCAGTCTGCGAGGATTGCAAGGTTGGTGTGAGTGACACGTCGACCGCTCCTTTCAGGAGCATAACTAATTTTGGCCAAGGTGGTGGTCCCGAAATTCCGAAAACATCAGAGTAAAAAAAAACACTAATAGTCAAACTTACATATAAAGTAAGATGATGTTCAATTTGGATCTACATCGTGTCCTTTTTGCCCATTCAAGGCTTGTAGAACGGTCGTCCCTTGCAGGGATGACATGCGGAAATTGGAAACTGGTCCCCAAATTGAACAGAAGGGAAGTGAGAAGAAAAGAAAGAGTGCTGCTGGATGCAGTTCCTTGCCCATAAATGATGTCTGCCCTGTGGGTTCGTCGCTTTCACTAAGTGACTGTTTAAACTTTAAAGCTTCGCTTCCCACCCGTGTGGGTACGTGCCCTATCTAATCGCCTAAATCAGTTGTGGCCTCCCTTCTGGACAAGGCCAGACTTTTTAATGGGACCATTGTTTACGGAATTGGCAATGGGTGTCATAATTGGCCCCTAAACAGTGGACCCCTAATCGTCAGTAACCAGTCCTGTTAATGGGGTCCACTGTTTTGGCAATGGGTGTGAAATTGGACACGTTATGCGTAAGGGGCCTTTCCAATGGTCCACTATTTAGGCCCTTTAGGGGATTCAATTTGGTAATGGGTGTGAACAGTGGACCCCTAAACAGTCCTGTTGATGGTGTCCACTGTTTAGGTGATTGGCAGTGGGTGTGAACAGTGGAACCCTAAACAGTCTTTTTAATGGGGTTCGCTGTTTTGGGGATTAGCAATGGATGTGAGCGGTGGACCCCTAGAGTCTAGACAGTACTTTTAAAGGGGTCCACTGTTCAGGGGATTGGCAATGGGTGTGAACAGTGGACCTCTAGCAATGGATGTGAACCGTGGAAATGGCCCAAATGGGTGTGAACAGTGGACCCCTACGAGGTTCGCTGTTTAGGGGATTGGCTACGGGTGTGAACAGCGGAACCCTAAACAGTCTTTTTAATGGGGTCCACCGTTTAGGGGATTGGCAATGGGGGTGTGAGCACATGAACTGGATCTCTGAACAGTCACTCCATGAAATTGATCATCTGATTCATCTCATCTTTCGTCTAAGGTCTAACCTGCCTCAGACTTTCCCACCTTACACAACAGGTAACCACATGTGGCTGTTGATAAACATATCATGAGTTCAAATCTGACTGTATGCGATCACGCTGGGGGATAGTCCCCTTTTTTTTCTTTTTTTTTTTGTTCTAGAATCTAGACAAAACGGGTCCTTATGGTCCTGGCTCCATATCCCCTTTTTTATTTAAGGAAAAAGGTGAATGTGCTATCGCATTCGGCAATGATGGCCGGAAATCAGCATCTCAGACGGGCCCTTTCTTGAAGTCTTTCTTCCAGTTCTAAACAAAAACAAAAACAAAAATTCAATCTGACTTTGAAAGCCACAAATATGGCATGACAAAAAAAAAGTTCGAGAAATAGAAAAAGAAGAAGTCCTTCGGGACATCCGTTAAAATTGGAACGATACAGAGAAGTCTGAGAAGATTAACATGGCCCCTGCGCAAAGAAAAAAAAAAGAAGAAGATGAGGAATGCTTTCAGGGCCAGCGACCTAGCTCAGTTGATAGCGCACGAAAGCGCTGCATTCGGGAGGTCGTGGGTTCAATTCCCCACACCGTCCATTCGAATCCCCACGCCTCCCCACGGCGCATGTGGGTTCACCAGCTGAGATAGTCAGTGTGCACCCCCTGGTTGGCTGGTAGGGGGCGTAGCCGGCGAGCCGCGTAGCCTTTTCGATTCGTTGCCAGGGGGTAGGTTCAACCATGAGGGGATCGGCTCAACCCTGAGGGGATAGGATCAACACTGAGGGGGCAGGCTCAACCCATAACCCTTTACCGTACTCCAGCTTCAGTGCATAGATGGGATTGATGCGCTTAGGACCTTAGGTTCAAATCGATGCGCTTAGGACCTTAGGTTCAACTGGACTCAGATAGATGTAGGCATGGGGTTAGGTAGTGTGAGGTATAAATGAGAGAAGAATATAGCTCAGTTTATATAAACAAAAAGAAGAGGAATGCTGTCCTTTGTGACATCCGTTGAAATTGGAGCGATACAGAGAAGATTAGCATGGCCCCTGCACAAGGATGAAATGCACAAATCGGGAAATGGTCCAAATTTAAAAACAACAAAGGAAAACGAGGAATGCTCACCAGCGTGTGTGGGTTGATTCCCAGGTCCTCCATAAGTGCCCGGCATTCATCAGCAAGCCGAAGTTCGTCTAGGCCTGGGATGACCTGTGAATCATCACACCGAGGCTCTCTGTGGACATCGGTGGCCGTTGTCGCGGCAGCGCTGCTCCCCCTTCCATCTCCTGAACCAGCGTCGGCAGGTGGGAGCTCGCCAGACCCCCAACTACTGACATCCGTGTCCATGTTCCCAGCTGACCGGAGGGATCCCAACCTGTCCAAAGGTCCGATGGAGGCCTGCATTGTCGATTGTTCTCCAGGAGCAGGGCCGCCACTACACGTGCCATTGTTCGTCCCGTGGGCCACCATCATATTTTCGTCATTTTGGTTGGGGGTTGCTCCCCCCTCGAGCTGCAGCTGCGCAGTTGTCCCATCACCTGATGCAGAGAGAATTCCAGGTCCAGAGCCAGAGCCAGTGCCAGTGCCGGGGCCAGGTCCCGATGCAGGTGCGCAAGACGACGATATATCATTCCAGCGGTCACGTGACACACTTGCCAATCCATTCGAATTGCTGTTTGCTTTAGACGTCACTGGAATTGAGGTCGTCGACAAAGTCTCATCAGTCATTCCCTGCCGATCTTCGGACGACATCCTATCAGCATCTCTTACCGCTTGTCCAGTTTCCATGGAAACCTTTTCTCCATGGCCCTCTTTTCTGCCGCTCCCACCCATGCCGTCTGGCTCCCGTTCATTGAAAGCAGCCATCAGTTCCTGTCCTCGCCTCCACCATGCATTCCCTCCCTGAGCGCTGGACATATTCCTGGGCCCAGAGATCATGTTGAAGGCCATGTTATCATCCCTCTGATCGTTGCGATACTGCTGACTTGCAGCCAGCGTTCCAGGAATTCCCAGTGCCAAGTTGAAGCTTGAAAGGGAGTTTGCATTTAAGTCAGCGATCTCCATGATGTTATTCACCCTCTCATTGTCGCCGTCAACGTCGGCGAGGGAATCATCGCTACAAATAACACTATCTCCAGACTGCAACACCCTCTTGTTCCCATCACCTGCCCCTCCATCTCCACTTAGCTCAAACTGGGAAAAACCCGACCTCTCCACGGAAGAGAAATCCACAATCTGTGCCGTCCTCCCTGTCTCTCGCAACGGCAGGCCACCAGTTCCCCCAAGCTGTCTGCCATCTTCCATTTGGTCCCGGGACATGGACCCAAATCCCACCCTTTCCTGCTCCTCCTCTCTTCCATGTGTCCTGTTCAAGTCATGACCACCTCGGGGGTTGCTGATACGGAGCTGAGGAGCGTCTGCAATCTCCTCCGCAGGAGAAGATAATGTCACACCCGCAACACCCACGTCTCCACAGCTTATGTGATTTGTCATGGCCGATGTCACGGAGCCCCCAGTCGCACTACACCCATCGTGATCCTCGGACCTCTGTCTTTTCACCAAGTCTGGACATCTGCCCATGTCTGTGGCACCGCCTGCAGTTCTGCATCCGAATGCTTGACCAGAGGCAGAAGTAGACATAGCCAAACCACCGTTCGCGGCAGTGACGTCCATGTCTTTCACAGGCTTCTCCGCGATGGAGCCAAATCCCTCGTCTTTGGAACTCAAGTCCCCTCTTTCTAAACCCGAATTCGAATCGCCTAACTTGTCGGAAATGCTGGTAGTTGCATGTTGCTGACGTAGCAAAGCTGTTGGTCCAGTATCAGTCACCCCTGCAGGGTATGACTGTGCCGTCAGATCGCCTTGCGACAAAGCCACTCTCGAAGCTCCTCCCTGCAGACGACTAGAATCGGCATGGTTTGCATTGTCACTGCTCGGACTACAATGGCCCGCAATAGTCCCAAGTGAAGTTTCTGAATTGCAGGACCCTCCAGAGATGCTCTTTCGCTGGAAATTCTGAACGACTCTCATGTCATTATCATTTCCATTAGACGCTTGCCGAACCGGGTCATGGTCGCCACCCCCAAGAGCCCTGATGGCATTTGCAGCTGCCACTTTGCTGATCAGACTGGACTGTTTGCTGGTACCCAGATTGCTTAGGCTGTGGTTTCGGGTAGCATTTATCAAAACCCCACCATCATCCATCGGTTTTGAAGTATATCTGCCCTGGGAAAGGCCCCTCTTGTCGGTCGTACCTGTAATGGCGCCACCTCCCTTTGCACTCTTGCTATTTCCATGCACCGATATGACCCCACTGACCTTGGTACCATCCGCACGGGGACCAGTCGCTGGCCCCATGCTGTCCTGTGTCCCGACATCCTTACAACCCCTCAGTCGCCGCCGCCTCTGTGGCGGCCCTCCTGCGCCGCTTGTTCCTGTCTTTTTTGCCGCTGTTGCTACAGCCCCGTCCTTCCAAGCTCCCCCCTTTGCCCTCAAGTAGGTTGCTTTTGCCGCAGCAATAGCTGTGAGAGGTTCCGTCATGCCCTGGGATGCAAACACACCCCTGCTCACAGGAATTGTTCCCCCGGCTGCCATCATCAATCCTCCCCCTCCGCCGCCATTTCCGATTCCCATCACAGGGGCAACGGGTGCAACATAGCCTCCTGAGTTCGAATGCGATGAATACGGTACTTGGCAGATGTTGAAAGGTTCAGAAACTGCATTTTGAATGCTATCTCTGTACACGGGATAGTAATATCCACTCTGGGAATTGCAAATCGGCTGTCCAACGTATGGGCTTACAGCAGACCCTGCTACTGCTCCGATGTGAGAAGAACCCTGCGACACTTGGGCTAGCATCCCATTGTTCTGTAACGACATACACACAAGCACAGGGGGAGATACACAGGCATACCGTACTATGCACACATACGAACACAGCCCGTACAGATCTAAACAGATAGACAGAGAGAAATAGCGGACAGGCAAACAGGAGGGTTGACCAGATCATCAAATACTCAAGGCATACAACTGCAGAGATAACCCTGTCTCTTATACACATCTAGATGTGTATAAGAGACAGCCCTGTACACCACTCAATTCTCCATTGTTGCATT